GCGCGATCCTGCAGAGCCCCAGAGCCGCTGCCATGCATCTTTCATGTGCCATAAATAAGTAATGGGGCGGGCAGCAGCGGGGCCAGGAAAGGGGGAGAGCAGTGCTGGGGGGGTGAGCGTGGTGCCAAAGCCTGCAGCGCTCATAGGAGGACGATCCCACACCCAGGTGGGCACTTCCATCCCATTCCCCTATGGGATTTGGGGCCGTGCGATTGCCTGTGGGCTCTGAGCCCTCCCATCCCTGTGTATGGGGCAGGAATTCAACATCTGCAGTGGGAAGAGGATCCCATGGAGAACGCCCTATAGTGGGATGCGGGTGGGGATGCCCCATCCTTGGGGTCCTCAGCTCCTTATGGGTTTCACCCTTCCCTAAAGCAGCCGACTGATGGGAAAAGCCATTTCTAACCTCGAAACAAAGCCTCTGGGCAGCTCTGCCAAAAAAAAAGGGGGGGGGGGGGGGGGGCGGAAGGGGGGGGGAGAAGCAGAGCAAGGCTGCTGCAGAGCAATGGTGCAACATGAGGGCTGCCCCGAGAAGAGCCCCGCTCTGCAAAACCCACAGAAAGCGCGGGCACTCACAGCACCACCCGAAATAAATCCTCATCCCCCAGCAGAAGTAGGGCACAGAAAGTAGGGCAGCAGCTCCCTGCAAAATCTTTTATTTATCGCCCAGGGAGCGGCGGCACAGGGCACGGCCGTGAGAACAGCGGGGTCCTGGGGGTGGGATGGGGCCGTTCTGTCCCTAAATGGTGCCGCTATGGGATGGAAACGGGGTCGGGGTTGGCTGGGTTGTGCTGTTGTGAGGGGAGTGAATTGCCTTGAGGAAGAATAGGGTCGCTGTTATTGGGGAATTGGGGAAATCAGTGGGAAAAACACGGAACTGATCGTTCCAATGGCATTGGACAGAACTGGCCGTTCCATTGGCATTGGTTGTTCCAACAGCTCTGGTTGTTCCAATGGCACTGAACCCTTCCTGGGCAGGAGCTGGAAAAACCCGATGGCTGATCACTTACCCATGGGTTTTTGCCCACCCCTGCTATGGGGCCATGGCCACTTCCACATCCCCACGTAGGGATTTGGGGGCTTTGCCCCCATCATCCTCCATCCACAGCATCAGGAGCTCATGGGGCTTTTGGGGGCTGTTCCCGACTGCTTTGGGTTCTCCTTTAGAGGAGCAACATCTTGCTGCATGGAACCAAAGCGCTGGGTTGAGTTTTCCTTCCAGGAAGGAGGATTTAGGATTTTCATTCTGGGAGGGAAATAGGAAGAGAAGCCCTGAAGAGACACATTGCTGTGCGGGGAAACACCACCAGCAGGAAAATGAGAGCTTCCCAGCCCAGATTTGGGAATGACCATAGCTATAGGAGCCAGGTGCAGTGGGGATGCCCCATAGAAGCATCCCACAAAACCCCCAGATCCCTCCTATGTGCTGCACTGTACCTCTCCCCCCCCTGGGCATTTCATTTTCCTTCAGCCTGGAGTTAGAATTCCTCCACTCCTGCCAGCTGTTCCCACTAATGAGGACGAAGCAAAACATCAGACATCTTAATTCATGCATTGCTCGAGGTGTCGAACTGTTGCTTTACAACCACACGTGGGAGGCACCGCACCGAAAAGAAAAACAAAAAAGACCATCATTTTTCACCAAGGGACCCGAATGCAGCCCCAAAGCCACGGTCAGCATCAACCCCTGGTTCGGTAGTCAGAGATTTGAGGGGAGGGATTCTTATTTGGAGGGGGTGGGCACACACACAGCCCTGCATCTGTGGGTTCAGGGGCGTCTGACTCACCTCACCTGAGCATTGCTGATGATTTTTGGGGTGGGAGATGGTTTTGCCATTTCCGACGGGTCCCAACTTGGGGAGGGATGATAAAATGAAACAAAAACAACCAACATTGGGGAAATCAGTGGGAAAAACACGGAATTGGTCGTTCCAATGGCATTGGACAGAACTGGTCGTTCCATTGGCACACGTGTGAAATTTAAACCAATAAATAAATCAATAGAAGCCCAACATGGGATGCAACACCTTAAATACAGGGCGGTGAGTCACGGTGAGCTGGGGATGAGGGGGGGGATCCAGGTTCTGACTCAGTGTGGTGGTTCTTGTTTCCCTCAATGGGCGCTGAGGAGCCTCGTGCCAACGTGACCCTATGAATATCTCTGTGCTGTGGGGAAGGAGAGGACTGGAGAGGCACACTCAAGCCCAAATTTAGGGATAAATGGCCCCAGGTTTAGGGATAAATGGCCCCAAATTTAGGGACGTGGTTAGTGGGCATGGTGGTGATGGGTTGGTGGTTGGACCTTGTGACCTTAGAGCTCTTTTCCAACCTTAATGATCTGATGAACCAACCCAAGGGATCTGGGTGTCATCCCGCATCCTGCACAGGCAGATGGGGAAAGAAACAAACAAACAAACAAATCCCCCCAAAATACAATTCCTAATGGATCTGAAGCCCATCCAAAATCCACCCCTTGGAAAGGGTTAACCCAAAACAGAGCTGCGAAACCCCCAATGCGATGGATAGGGAGGAAGGAGAAGCTTGCAGAGCTCCAGCTTGGCTTTTCTTGCTCACCTGCACTGTGACACTGCTGCATTCAGGAGGTTTAACGACTCAAACCTCCCCAGAAGTGCAGCCTGCAGCCCAAATGCTCACCCTGCGAGTGGGGATTTGGAACGGGGCCGAGATTGGAAAAACCACAGGGGTCCACAGCACCATCAGCACGAGCCCCCCCCCCTTTTTTTCTTTTTCCCCTAATCCTGATTTTCCCAGTTAAATTGCAAACCTCAGAACGGACTCAGCACAGCAGCTGCAACAGAACCTATGGAAGGAAGGGGGCGAGGGGAACCTTTCTACCACCTGCAGCTGTCCCTGATGTCCTCACCGCTGTCGGCACAGGAAAAAAAACCCCATGGGAACAGCATTAGGAACAGCCTGACCCCAGGGGAGCACTGCAGAGCCCGCGACCCCCATGGGGCACCCAGATCCAACCCCCCCAGTGCCCCTTTTCTCCCGTGGGTCGAGGCGTTGGTGGATGCAGCTATTTTCAGGATGTCAGCGCCCACTGACAGCCCCACACGGCGCAGGGTGCATATGGCTCTTTATATATATAGGATGCACGCGGGGACACGTCTCTGCCAAGCGGTTCCCCGGCTCTCTGCTCCCAAAACCTCAGGAGTTTGAGTTCAAAGTGCATCATCCCACACCCAACGGGGGTCTGCATTTGGGGGGGGGGGGGGGGGCTCTGGAGCCCAATGGGCAGAAACCAATCAGACCCACGTGTGGGTCGGTCACCCCCCATTGTTCTCAGTTGCTGGGATTTGGAGGTGCAGCCAAGGAAAAGCGACCGATTGTGTAACGTTTGGCTCCAAAAGCTCCTTACACAGTCGCATCTTTCTATTGGATTTCCCTTGCCCCGCGCCGCTGATTGCTGCCGTATTTATGTATAAATAGAAGCTGTCTTCCCATAATCTGCTCGTTTCTCCTCATTAAGTCGGGGCTGAGCTCTGGCTCTGGTTTTGGGGATGCTGGGACCCGGTGGAGCTCAATGGACCCAAATCCATCTATTTTCCCCCCAGACTGGGGTCAGTTTTTAAGCTGTTCTCTTTGGGTTTCCAAGCGACCAACGCAATGCAGCCCATTCAGGGCACCAAGTGCCCTTCTACCCCTCACAACCAGATGGATGCTGAGGAGAGAGGGGAAGAAATCCCCCAATGGCCCCCCACCCCATTCCCCAAATTCCCATTCCCAAAACCCACGCGTTTGCTGCCAGGCATCCCTCCTCATCCTCACCCCTTGGGGCACAATTCCTTCCCGTCCCCTTCCTCCATCCTCACGCTGCTTCTCCCTCATTTAGGGAACGTCTCGATTTGCTAATTATTTTTAATCATTATTACTCATCTCTCCCTTCCTCCCCCCCAACACTCGGTCCCGGCTCCGTCAATCACGCTAATAGCTGTTTACAACCTATCATCAACTCTTGCATAACATCCACATGACTGTGCTCGGATGCCTCCGACACCCAGAGCTGCCCTGGGCTCTATTTTGGGAGAGCTGAGCCCACGGCACCGAGTGGCCGCGTCCCTCCTGAGAAGCATCCCTCGATGGGGATGGTGTTGGTGGCTTTCATAACCCGCCTGCGCTCCGCCGACGCGCCCCATCTATGGAGAACACGAGGTTTGAGGTCTGGCCTTGGCTAGGACTGCAGTTTGGCACCAGGGATGCCCCACTCGGGTTGGTTCTCTCCCCAAAATCCCAACATCCAGCCCACCTGCCCTGTGGAACTGGGGAAGCCGCTCTCTCCCCACGCAAATATTTATTTTGCGCGGCACGGAGGGGCTCATTTATTAAGCTCCAGCTGATGACTGTATTCAGACTCATTTCTCCTAATGAGGCACTCACGGTCACTCCAGCAACAGCATCCCAGCAGCCACACTGCATCCAGCCCTCAGCCAAACCAGGAGAGAGCCATGGGGACCTGTCCCCTCTCCAGGCAGACCCCACGGCCCTCATCAGCAGCCCAATTAGGCAGCTGGAGGTGGCTAACGAGCCCAGACAACAGTGGGCAGGCACGGCCTGGTGCTTGGCTGGCATGTGGTAGGGTGTGAGGATGTGAATAAATGACTGTTTGCCATCCATGTGGCTCAGCCAAGGGAGCAGCCGTGGGGCAGGGAGGGGAGTGGGGAAAGGAATGGGATGGGGTGGGGAAACACCTGCAAGAAGGCACTCAGAATCACAGAATCACAGAATTGTAGGGGTTGGAAGGGACCTCCAGAGATCATCGAGTCCAATCCCCCAAACTCATATAACCCCCCACTCATATAACTGCTCATCAAACCCCACAGCCATCAGTTCTCCACGCACCACGGAAGCTCCAGGTGCATCTCCTTCCCCTCTGAGCCAAAATGAGGAAATGAAAAGGTTTTGGGTTTTTTTTTTTTTTTTTGCTCTCCTGTTTCGCACGATCCGCACCACACTGCAGACAGTGGGGGTGACCCCAAAACAAGGCAGGCTTGGTTTACCCAGACAACACGGCAGTGCCAATGATCCCATCACACAGACCCCAAAGGGTGACACTGATGCTCACAGATCCCTGACTGCACACACACACACATACACAGAGCACAGAAACCTGAAGCACACACTGCAGGAGGAAAAGGCAACGTGACGTGCCCACATCCGTGGAGCTTTCCAGGTGGGATCTTTGGGGCAAAGTAGGATGCTGGGAAAATGTTCCTTTGCAGCCTGTCCTCTGCTCCCCACGGCTCTACAAGGAGTGACACGGACAATACATCGGTCGACAGCACAACATCAGAGCACTGCACACAAGGGATGCAGCATTTTGGCAGGGAGCACAACGCCCCGAGTTGTTTTGGCACAGGGTGTCTCTATTTGGTGCCTTGGGGGCTGCTCTCCCTGCCCACCCACTCTGGCAGCCTTGGGGCTACAGAGCTCAGCACCATCCAGATTTATGGTCCCCATCTGCAACTGATGCAGCTGACGGGGCTCAAGGCAAGGCAGCATCCTCCCAGCTCCGTGGTCCATCACACAGGTTTCCCTTATGAAATGCTGAGGGATGCCCACTTCTGCTACAAGACAGCTGAGATAGGAGAAGCTGAGGATGCACGGATTTCTGGAGGGGACACAGAGTCCTGGCAGCAATGAAGGGGCAAGAGCTGACTGGGAACCAGAAGCACACAGCTAGCATCCTACTGCAGGGACTGCCCTGGGGCAAAGCACCAACCCCTGAGCACAGCATTCTGCCCAGGCTGCTTCTGTTTGCTGACCAGCTGGAGGCTGCCTGGTCAGCCCACACAGGTCCCTGTGGTGGCATCCTCAGGGATGGGTCCCTATCCTGCTGCCCCATCTCACACACTGCCAGGGTTGTAGCACAGCAGGTTGAACTCCAGGTTCTCATCCCAGTGCCTGAGCAAGACAAAGAGCTGCTGGGCTGCAGATTTCACAGCAGCCAGGCTGCAGCCCTGTGGGAAGTCCTGCTCACCCAGCCACAAGCTGGCCTTGGCAGCAACCAGCTCCCACTCAGTGAAGTGGGATGCTGAGCTGTGCTCCAACCAGGCCAGTGCTACAGCCGTGGCCCACAGCATCCCCTCAGGCTCTGTCTGCTTCTGCAGCTCGATATCCAGCAGCAGCCTTTGGACATCAGTGCTGTCTGCCTCGGAGATGCTGGCATCCCACTGCTCGGCTGGGGAGTGGCGGACGGTGATGGCAGGGGGGGAGAGCTCGCTCTCAGCTTTCAGAGCTTTGGAGATGCTTTCCATGGCACCTCCTGCATCCCATGCAGAGCTGCTGTTGGGGATCAGGAGCCGCTGGCTGTGCACGGGGCTTCCACACTGCTCTGGCTTCTTGGTGATGGAGGAGCTGGAGGGGCTGAGCGCCAAGCGGTGGCAAGAGAAGGGTGAAGTCCAGCAGAGCTTCTCCATGGGGATGCTGACTGCCTTGCAGAAGGCACTGTTCATGAGGAAGGCACCGCAGGCCAGCTGCAGGGACACCTGCAAGGAGAAGCAAGAAGCTCTGAGATACCAACCATATGCACGTCGTGCAGGGAAAGAGGAGATCCCCATCCCAAAATGGACCTCCTGACACAGTGCTGGATGGCCCAGGGCTGAGCTGCTCACCAGGGGAAGGTAATCGGCGCTTTCGCTGTCGCTCTCAGAGCTGGCTTCGCTTGCTCTGGCTGGAGATTTGCTCATGAAACCTTTGGCAGCCCGAGTCAGCAGCCTGGTCTTCTGGAGGGTAAGCCTGCAGGAGGATGGGATGGCAGCCATCGTCTGTGCATCCCCTCCTGATGCCCACCTCCCCATCCCATCCAATCACCCCTATTCTCAACCAACACAGTGATGGTCACTGCTCCGTGCCGGACACATGAGACAGACATGGCAGAGGAAGGCAGGGTGCACTCATACCTTGCAGCAAAGATGCTCTCGATGGATTTTGGGGAGCGTGTGGAAGAAGCAGATAGGCTCTGGAATGGCACTGGGAAGAAACACCAAGAAAATGAGACAGGAGAGTGACTGTCAGAGCAAGGGAAGCAAAACCTACAGTGCTGGGGTGTGAGCTGCTGCGTCTGCTAAAATCCTGCCTCTCTTCTTGCTTGTGTGGGATTCAGGGTAACCGAATTAAAAAATGAACGTGAGGAAATCTGCACCAAAGGCTCTGTGCCTTTCACCTCTGGAAGCAGCCAGGTCTTGTGCTCACAGGCCTAATTGTAGGCAATAGAGTTTGAAAAATAAAAAACAGAATACTCAGCAGAAAACTGGGTGAGGAGCCCAAATCACTGACTCAATTTCCCAGCAATTATGCAGCAGCAGCTCCAAGCCGTTTTCCTGCCCATTCCCATGCCCAGACCTGACTCCAGAGAGCAGGAATCACGAGGGCTGAAGCTACGTGGAGAGCAAGAACGGTGCTGGAGCCCAAAATGTGGGGCCTGGCACGTAGCTGTGAGCTGCCCCACCTTTGGGCACCCTGGAAGCCTTCCCTTACCTTCAGGGATGCGGCAGCGCTTCCAGCTGGAGGACAGTGGGGTGCTGCATGGCGACAGCCTGGGCTCTTCCATATCTGCAAGGAAGGAAGCGCAGCAGCATCACTACCAACTTGAAATCTCCCTTGTGCCACCTCCAGCCCCCGAGCACAGAGGTGATTTTAGTTCTGCCGCATCCCTGACAGCAACAGATGCAGTCCCAGCCCAGCTTGTCTTCATTAGCAGAGGATTTGGTGACAGGCAAGTGCCTCACAGCCCCTTGCCTCTAATTATGCCCCGCTTCATCCCTCATGCTATCCGTGCTACGGCTGCCAATTAACTTCCAAGCATGGTTGGCAGCCACTGTATGTGGTTTGGGAGTTTCAGGGCAAATTGCAGCTTCTTCCCTGCTTAAGGAGAAGGATTCCAGCCAGACGTGTGGTTAATTGCTCTGAGCAAATGGCTGGGCTTTTTTTGGGGGGGGAGGAGAGGGGGGGAGGGAGGCAGAAGCGAGGAGGGGAGAGCACTGTACATAACTGGTCAAAAGACCAGAGAAGATATCAGTTACAAAAAAAAAAAAAAAGCCTAAAAGGGCATATCTTCATAAAATCATAGAATGGTTGGGTTGGAAGGGATTTTGCAGCAGGCTGGTTGCCAACCACTGGACCAGTCCATCTTCATGGATTGAGGCAATGAGAACAACAGCAAGGAGACACAGCCAAAGCCAGGTCTTACCCATGCCATAAAATCCATCATCTCCATTCTGGCCGCACGGTGAGAGGGGTTGTGCAGAGGAAAGGTCACGACACCTCCTGCGCCCCGAGCTAAGGCTCCTATGGCCACCTTGCTTGGACAAAACCCCTTGGTATGAGAATTGCTGGTGTTAACCAGGCACTGGGGCAGCAACAAACCCCGAAGGCCGGTGAGCTCGGTCCCTATGCCATCCCAACCCAAGGCTGGCCACAGAGAGTGAGGTTGTTGCCACCACCAGTGACAGGAACCCAGCAACGGATGGATGGAGCAGCCTTAGCTGCACAGATCTGGTGTTGGGTTGAGCCTTGGCGAGGCTCCTGGGGTGCTCCCCACCCAAGCCCCAGCCCCACGTTACCTGTGTGGCTGTACTCAATGATGG